AACAAAACGGTGATATTTTTCAATAGGTCGCTTAATTACGTGTTTAAGATTACAATGACGCTTTCAGAATCATGTTTTGTTGAAAATTAACGCCTGTAGAAAGGCTTAAAGTTTATAACTTTTGGAGCCTCCATTATAAACAAATTGAATTGTGCGAAAACTATTGCACCTACAGCGCCCACTTTTGGCACACTTTTAAAGTATGACAAAACCCTCAACTTGTCATAGGTTTTATAAAATTTTAACAATAAATGCGATAGTTATAAACAAATTAAAAAATGGGCACTTTTCTTGTTTTTTTGCAATAACTTTTTTGTTTATTAACCGATTTTAATTTAACAAGTCTCATTTTGTAGATAATTTTACTCCCTACAAGCTGTCTAAGAGTCACTTTTCGCTAAAATCGATGGTTTTCCCTGCAAAATGAAAAAACTGTTTTCCTCACTTATTTGTTTAAATAGAAAAGTTATCTAATAAAAGTTTTTGACTCACGAGATGAGAGATGTCTTGCATTATGTTCTTTTAGACAATTTTACAATAATCTCGCGGATAGGACTTTTTTCGAGTAAAAATCTTATTTGCTTGGCCTATGTAGCGCTTCCTATAAAATATGGTATAATACTAATTAAATTTGAATTCTCGGTAAGTCCCTGTATACCGAATTTGGACCAATCTACCATGTATAAAAAAAATTAACGATTTTTTGTTTCATGTTTGTAAGTTTGTTGTTATTAACTTTTGCATTAAAGTGCAGAAACTGATTCCAGGAACCTCCCGTTACAGTATGTCCCTTTCGTTACAAAACACCCTGTATCTGTTATAATAACACCGTTGTCGATCTCTTCCCACTTTTCAATGTCGCCTGTATCCTCGTTCTAGACCAAGCCGTAGGTGGGGGTCTCGGATTAAAATTTAACGGCCTCCCGAGATCGCCCAATAAAACAAAATCGGCAAACAATAAATCCCCGTCCACACCATCAAGAACAAATTACGGACTTATCGATTGGATAAGATTCGCTTATTTTAGCGTTGTTATGGCAACCCTCTCATAGATAAAACGGGCATCTTTGCCGAATGTCCAACAAACAACCACCTGTTTCCCGCGAAAGAGGTAAGCTGTTGCCCTTTTGTCTATGTCTGATCGATTAGAATATTTTGTTGTAGAGTAGAAATAGGCGTCGCGTTAACTAGAGTTTATTATAAATTTAAATGTTTTTGTTAGGATTTAAAAGTGAAAAAATTTAAACTTCAGTACGGCTATAGAAGTAATGGAAAGCCCGATATCTCGAAAATCGAAAGAGATATCTTAATTGTGTACAGTGTAAGTGTAGTGTGTATATAAATTTACAAGTGACGTATAAATCTACACAACGTAGATCGTGCACCGAACAAAAAAATGTAGTTCATATAAAAAAGAACATTCCTTATTCTATTTCTAAAAAACACTATTTTTGGAGTTATTTGGAAGTACAAAAATTAGTATCTATGTATGTACATCGTGTTCAAAATTAATTATGAGCTGTCGGTGCTTTGAAAATTTTTTTTATAAGTTGCGTTGGTTAAAGTGGTAATAAAACTTGTTTTATGCGACTTCCTGTTTCATTGGAAATTATACACGATCTCTAAGAAGTGGCGGACAATCTCGCGGATTTGAGTACCTACCTAAGACTTTCTAAAATAACGTTACATATTTAATAAATTTATTTCATTCAAGTTCACCCTGTAGAATTATTGGCTTTTGAAGTTGAGTGTTGAAAATCGATTTGTTATAAATTTAAAAGTTTTGGTTAGAATCTTTAAAAGTGAAAAAATTTAAATTTCAGTACGGCTATAGAAGTAATGGAAAGTCCGATATCTCGAAAATCGAAAGAGATATCTTAATTGTGTACAGTGTAAGTGTAGTGTGTATATAAATTTACAAGTGACGTATAAATCTACACAACGTAGATCGTGCACTTAACAAAAAAAATGTAGTTCATATAAAAAAGAACATTCCTTATTCTATTTCTAAAAAACACTATTTTTGGAGTTATTTGGAAGTACAAAAATTTGTATCTATGTACATCGTGTTCAAAATTAATTATGAGCTGTCGGTGCTTTGAATTTTTTTTTTATATTAAGTTGCGTTGGTTAAAGTGATAATAAAACTTGTTTTATGCGACTTCCTGTTTCATTGGAAATTATACACGATCTCTAAGAAGTGGCGGACAATCTCGCGGATTTGAGTACCTACCAATACTCTAAAATAACGTTACATATTTAATAAATTTATTTCATTCAAGTTCACCCTGTAGAATTATTGGCTTTTGAAGTTGAGTGTTGAAAATCGATTTGTTATTTTTCATGAAATTATATCCTCATAAACTTTACAAAAATTATAGTCTTAAAAATGGCGACAAAAAATTAAACAAAGGGAATTTAAGGCTCATTATTTTCATAATAAAAGCTGTGATAATAGGCCAATCAATAAAGCATTAAATCAGCAAGCAAAATATAAAAGTCTGTAGATATTTGCTTATATGTTTCCTACTTCAGTTTACCATTAATTAATTTTTTAAAAACATTTTTTGCAAAAAAACTAACGAAGCAGTTTGAATGCTATACAGAGACAATTTGTAGAGAATCGAAATTCGAATAAAACGAGAGGTCGATCCGATCGGATAATTAGAAACGAAGAAAACCCGGAAAAATCGGAAAATTTTGCGGTTTTTTAAAATTCATTACTCGGCCATTTTTTAAATTGTTGAGCTGATTGGAGGAATTTTTCACCTTTTTCGCATCATTTTATCGGTAAATTAGAATATACGTTTTGTAGTATCGTATTTCTACTTTTAAAATCCGGCTGAAATATTGAAATCGGACCACCTCCAACGCATCCAGAAACTTTGCAATATAGTGCACCAAAAAATTCAAATTGGAATTGTGCCAAAACTAATGGTCCGTCAGCGCCTGTTTTATGCATACTTAGGATACATATAATTCACTGCTTTTGTGCACAGGGTCATCTCTACAACTTAAAAAATGGCTGAGTAATGAATTAATTAAAAAATCGCTAAATTTTTCCGGATTTTCTTCGTTTCTAATTATCCGATCGACCTAGCGTTTTATTCGTATTTCGATTCTTTACAAATTGTCTCTTTATTTCTTCATCAATTTAGGTATTTAAGCAAAAAACTAATATATTGGTAAATTGGAGTAGAAAACATATAAGCATACATCTACTAACGAGCGTTCAAATAAAAACGTGGTCAAGTTGGTTCTGAAAATTTGGACGTAGGGCGTAGCGTATAGCAAATGAACTTAAACGTCATCTGTCAAAACGCTATATCGCCACTATCAATTTGAATATTTTCGTTTTAAAAAGCGTTTAAAATGGTGTTTTCTCAAGAACAAAAAGTGTTTATCATAGAGTCCTACTTTAGAAATTGACGCAAGATTGATGGAATATGACAGTATTCTATTCAGGAATGTTTCATAGAATTTCAAAATCAATTTCCCGGCGTTGTTGAGTACAACATTTTTCAAAGTGCAGTTCAGCGTTGTGTTAATGTTTTTCGTGAAACGGGCAGTGTAACAAGAAAAGAAGGAAGCGGCCGACCTAAAGAGCGAACAGAAGAATTAAAAGAAAATGTCCAACAAATAATGGAAAATGCGCCAAGAACTTCTGTACGTGTTTTATCACAAATGTGGGAGTATCAGTCGGTACCTACCACACAGTGTTATAAAAAGATTTGCATTTGTTCTCCTATCGTTTAACTTGTCAGCAAGAACTTCATGAAGTTGATTTTCCGCGACGGGCTGTATTTTGTGAATGGTTTTTAAACAACTAAGTACGGTGAACTTCATAATATCACCTTTTTTTCTGATGAAGCCTGGTTTCATTTAAGTGGTTACGTAAACTCACAGAATATGAGAATGTGGTCTTCTGAAAAACCAGATAACTTTTTTGTCGAGGGCCCTCTACACGCTCAAAAAATTGGAGTTTGGTGTGCTCTCAATCGAAGGAGGATTTATGGACCTATTTTTTTTAATGGTAGTCTTACTGCGCAAAGGTATAGAGATGAAATTATCGCTCCTTTTGTTAACCAGCTGGAAGAAAACGAAATTACAAACTTATACTTTCAACAAGATGGCGCAAGGGCACATACGGCAGGCGAGACGATGAATATGTTGAGGGAAGTTTTCCAAAATCGACTAATAAGTCTCAATGCTGAACATCATGTGATATTACGCCGTGTGATTTCTTTTTGTGGCCTTACCTAGAAAATGTCTTTAATTCTTTGAGGAACAGGTGTGAAAAGTGCTTGGAACAAGGAGGGGGGACACTTTCAGCAGCTGCTTTAATTTATTGTTATAACAAGGAGGGGGACACTTTCCGCAGCTCCTTTAATTGTTTGTTATGGTTATCACGATTATTCTTTAAAATAAAGTTATATAGTCATTAACGTTATTGAAACTGACAGCTGCTATACAGCTCGTTGAGAAATGAGGTTAAGTTGGTCGCTATAAGCTACTCCCTACGTCCAATGTGTCAGAGCCAACTTCGACCACGTTTTTATTTGAACGCTCGTTAGTATTTTTGTCACAAACGAAACCTCTATTGATTGGCCTATAAATAGTTCTAAACACTACTTCACTGTTTTAAAAACTTGCCAACTTAAATAAGATTTTCGGCTCCAAAATAGTGTTTAAAACATTTATGTGGGAAGCATAAACATTTAATTTGCATTTTAAACGAAGTTAAAAATTTAAGAAACATTAATCCTTAGTTTAATTACATTTTTTCTGCACTAGAAAATATCGCTTTTTGAATTTTCATATATCAGGAGAGTTTTAAACGGACCCTGTATACACTTAAGGAAATGCTGACAGAATGTATATAAATTAAAAAGACGATATTTCTCCATCAAATTATTCCCCCGTTATTAGAAACGCTTCGTAAACAAATATATCCCATGTGGCTTAGTACCGTTAACTCAACTAGATTGAAGTCAGAGTTCAATTCCATCAGTCCGAGCCAAGCGATAATTGCAATAGCTTGACACCAGCGATCTGCTTCGAAATGAGGATGCAGAGGCCGTAAACGTACCGGTGTGAGACATTTCCTGGTAACAGGATGATTTTGTTGCAGGAAAATGGGCAGCGATCGGAAAATCAGGCAATACAACATGTTCCAGTTTAAGGAGAGGTGGAAAAAAATTCGGGAGGTCAGCTATGACGACGTCGTGCGATATCTGTACTCACCTACTGACCCCTCGAGTTTGGGTGTTGTTAGATTCCTTTTTGGTAAGTGAAATAGTCACATACATATTTAAACTCGGTAGGATTTCGAAATACTTATATATTTTTTATAGTACAGTTTTGAATACATATTATACACTGAGAGAAAATTCTGTTTTAGTATATGAAATGGTGGTACGCTGATAAAAGTGTTTACTACATAAATTAATAAATCTCTTGGGAGCGTATAGACAAGGTCAAAATAACACTACTTTTACCTACCATTAATTAATTTTTTGTAGCAAAAAAACCCATTTTTTTAGTTTTTTACTTATAAAACCATAAAAAAATAATTAGTGGTAAATTGAAGTAGGAAATATATAAGCAATATCCACAGGCTACCTTTTACATTATGGCACAGTCCGTTTGCTACTAATATTTTTGTCACAAACAAAACCTCTATTGATTGGCCTACTGAGAATATTTCTGAGTGCTTAAAATTTTGAAATAGTTTTATGAAAATAAGGTAAATATTAAAAATAAACGTTTATTAGATGGAAAACATTCATAGAATAAAAAAGTGTACTGTAAGTGTTTTGTTTTCCTACTTTCTGCGTATGACGTCAGCAAGGAACTTGACACAAATAATAGCTATACATATTTTCTATAAAAACAGACAATTAAAGTTAATAATGAATGTATGAATCGTGTTAGAAAGACAGTTTAAATATATAGTCTGAACATGAACATAACCCAACATATTGTGTCAAGTTTAACGTATGAGAAAACGTTCCCTGTTTTGTATAATAAAATGAACTATGTCAAAATGTTTATATAACAGCTCTGGATAATTAAAAATGACAAAAAGTTGCAACAAGATTTAATCAGTCTTGTTCCTTAGTGACGTCATGACATCCACATAGCTCAATGAGCTGTAGCTTGTTGACGTAAATTTTTGGACTCGAGTTAAATGAACTAAATACATGAAATAATTTTTAAAAAGAAATTGCAAGTCTTCATTAATTGAGAGTAAACTTTCTTTATTCATTTATAGCCGATTTCGAGTCGTTTTCAATTAATAATTTAATTTCCGGGATAATAATTCGTGAATTACATCCTTCATTTTCCAACGCACTGCTCTTTCCCCAGTTTTTTCTTTATTCCAAGTCTAAGATGGATACCCCAATAAAAAAATCCCTTATTTTAACTGAAAGCGATTGAACCGTCCTTTCACACGCTCTACAAAATTAAATTCCTCCTAATCCTCTATGTGGGAGGTGATTGATTACGAGGTGAGCAGCTTCGGGCTTCCAATGCGCAATTGGAGTAAAAAAATCGTGTTCTCTGTAAACCTTAACGTCCTAATACTTCGTACAACTCTTAGTCCGTTGAATCATGCATTGTCGGAAACGATTTTCGAGAGAAATTGGTCGGTAAATCAGGGATTTGTGTTACAAATTTCAGGATTCTAGAAACGGGATGGAATTATTCAGTGAGCTCGATTTAAAACTTTGATGTTAATACAAATACAATGAATTCTAATGTGGGTGATGTATACCTAACCTACAAAGTATGTCGTGTCTTAATTATTAATGCCTACTAGCACGACATTGCTTTGTACCTACTCCTTTCTACCTACTCTTAATCTGTAGGCACTATGACAACATGAATAGTGCCGCAGCAGGCTAAATGATTCTTTTAACTAATGTTATTGTGAGAAACAATTGCTTTTAGGTGGTTAATAGATATTACCGGTGTTATTCAATGCTGGACAGGGCATATAGCCAGCAGAGTAGTTGTTTCTCACAATATCGTTAGTTATACATGATTCTGCAATATTGATTTTAGAATTTCGATAATTATGTTAATCATAACGCAACACGTCACTTTCGTTACTTATATTTTTCTTTTGCTACTTAACTTTGAGTGAGCTAGAACCATTACTTACAGGTTTGCTCATGTTGGTTGACTTGCCTGAGGAGAGGGGCGGTTCGGACATAGATATAAGATGGGGGGATCCCAGAGATTGTCATTTTCCGTTATTTCCAGTACTGACGAATCCAGGTTTTCCGTGCATGTGTATGCTGTACTGTACGATGTGGTTTGGTAACTAAATTTGTTAAAAAAATATTGAAAGCAATCTATTACAGGCGATTTTTTAGGTGCTTGTGGAATTATGTTGGGATATAAGTTCAGATGGAGCGTTTTCCTCTTTGGAGTACCGTACTGGTATATCTTGTTACTGGATAAGTCGTACTGGAACAACCACAGTTACCTCTTCGGACTAGTCACGATTCTGTTAATGGGATCTTCAGCCAATCATTTTTTGTGAGTTGCTGTAAAGTTCTTGGAAATAGTTAATGTCGTGATTCGTAATCCTAGGTCTTTGGACGGGTACTTGGACGAATCCAAGAAAAACAAACACGTTCCATATTGGAATTACTTTATACTGAAGTATCAGTTTTTCTTGCTGTACTTTTTGGCGGGTCTGAAGAAAATCGATATGGAATGGTTGGAGGGTTATTCCATGAAGGACATAGGAGGACACTGGGTTTTCATACCTTTCCAGTAAGTACCATAAATATATCCTGCCATTTAGAAATATTAATTTACACATTTTATTATTTTTTTTTTTTTCAGGTACGTACTGTCTTCAGATAAGATCGACTACCTTGTCGTCCACTGGTTTGGCTTCCTCCTGGATCTGACCATAGGATTTTGGATGATGGTGGAGTTCACTAGGCCCGTGGCCATGCTATTCTGTGCTTGCTTCCATTTGATGAATTCTCGACTGTTCAGTATTGGTGAGTAATAAGAATGGTCTGTCGTGCTCCCTTATATAATTTCCGCAGGCGTAAGAAGCCGATGCTCCTTACTTTTTTGTGCGGATTGTTTCTAAGGCTTACATTTATTTTATTTACGTATTTTCCGCGGTTGCAAGAAGCCTATGCTCTTTACTTATGTGTGCGGGTTGTTTTTAGCGCGATCAATTAGCACAGGGCTTACATTAATTTTTTTATTCCTTTTAAAATATAACAGTATTCTAATTTCATAATTGCACTAATACTTACTCCAGTGTCAAAATATTAGGCTGTAAATTCATATATACAAGGTGAATTACTTTAATTTCACCAGTCAATTATTATTCCGAAGAGGAGTCATTTCGTGATGACCTTGGATTTGACCTTAATCCATAGTTTCGAGGTCATTTGAAGGTCAACTATTTTTTTTCTAAACAGAAACGTCTATTTTTCACTTCAGAAATGAAAAGAATACATATTTTGATTTTTGGTAAAAGTGACCTTCAAAGATCATCTCAAGGTCAATTTTACATCACATTCATAAGTCAAAGGATAAAGAACCGAGTGATTCTGTCTAGCATTATCTACTTCTGAGGTTATGAACTTATGTCCTTGGATTGGACCTTAACCCTTTCTCAAGGTCATTTTCAATGACAACTCTTTGTTTTGTGACAGACGACTGTTTTCACTTCAAAATTGATAATAAAGGAATTTTACGTCTAAATACATAGTTTAGTTTGGTGAAAGTGACCTTTGGAGATCGTCCCAAGGTCAATTCTGCATCTCTTTTGTAAATCGAAATAGAAAAACAAGAAGGTTCAAGATCTGTTAAAAAAATTTAAAAAACATTCGATCTCAAACAGATCTTGAAGTGTCATTATTATTCTTTACTATTTCGACATACAAAAGAGTTGCAGAAGTTGCAGAATAGTCCTTGTGATGATCTTCAAAGGTCACTTCAACAAAAAACTGAACTATGTATTTTGACGTAAAATTTTCCATTATTTTTAAGTTTGAAGGAAAAATAGTCGTTTCCGTTACAAAAGAAAAATTGTCATTCAAAATGACATTGTAAAACGCTCAAAGTCAAATCCAAGTTCACAATCTCTGAAGTCGATGATTCTAGCCAGAATCACTCTTAACAATTATTTATTCTTTTGAATTATGAATGATATGAAAAATTGACCTTGGGATGATCTTCAAAGGTCACTTTCGCAAAAACCAAAATAAGTATTCCGACGTAAAATGTTCCGCACTTTTCATTCATGAAGTGACGTGAATAGACGTTTCTATTAAAAAAATAGATGACCTTGATAATATACGTCAAGGTCAAGTCCAAGGTCACAAGGTGACCCCCAACAAACTGAACAACTATAATTAAGGCTTATTTTCACGAAACTAACTGGTGAAATAAAAATAATTCACCCTGTATAATAAACCACAACAATATGCCGTTCATTTTGTATAGTATTTCTATAATATCCTCAGCCTGCACGTGTGTGCAAAAATAGAGACCACTGATGTTGCACGGTTTGACTTCGCGAAGGCGCGTCAGTGCGTGTCATAAGCGTACAAGTGGTAAAGGCATTTTTCAACTTGGCAGATAAAAAACATGTATGCCAACCAATGTATGTAAGAGAATTCGAGCACGAAACGTTGTTATTTCGGTGAGCAATGTTGTGGAAATGTGCAGTTCTGTAATAAAGGTGAAACCTTGCCTACAAGTTCGCGAAATGTAGAAAAAATAATGTACATCGAAAAAAAAAATGATATCGACTAAAACATCGATACATCTATTTATTCTATATTTTAACAATATTTGAAGGCCTCTAAAATGAGACGTCCATAGAATTGGTCCCCCACACGCCTCATCCGTCGCACCAAGGTAAATCTTAAGAATAAGTATTGTTTTGAGTTTTTATATTTTATTTACTGGGAACCTCAGATGGGATTGTTTTATTCGGCAAACAGCACGCCTCTGTCTTTATCTAACCGAGTTTTATGAGGTATATGAATTGCCGTGGAGTTGCGGTAGTCCGTTTTTTTCTAAAGGTATTCATCTCTCTCCTAACAGGGAGGGTGAACGGGCAACGCAACGCCCGGAAAACCGGCGCTAATTTATTTAGGATTAACTTATAAATAATGAAAGTTGGTAATCACCGTAACAAGTAAACTTTTAATGAAGGGCCTTGCGATCAAGAATGCCGCCGGGATGAATAAAGGAATCTTTGAATAATTTATACATTACCTGTTTCTCTTTAATTCCAGTGTCATGGGAATCGAAATAAATTCACTAAAGCTCTTCTTCCACTGAAAACATTTTAATCAAAAGGCAGTGTTTCACAACCCAGAAATTCTTAAACATCTCTGACGTGCTTAAAATAATAAAATAATCTGTCTTCTTAACTAATGATGCAACTACTCTGCGTACTACAGCTCCGTCCAGCATTGAGTTACATCCCCCCCCCCAGTAGATAGGTTGTTTCGTGCAAGTAGGCATTGACAATTAGGATATGATATATTTTATATGTTACGACTCACCTATCTGTTTTACTTTTGTAAAAAATCTTGTTGAAATTTAAATTTCGCGGGAAGATACGATAGAATCACGTCATCTAGAACTAGAAGTTATTCGTCACTTTAAATTGACACTAATAATAATATAACCACCCTATAGGTAGTTATTTATTTTTAATCGATCGATATACTCTATCCTTTCATCAAAACTGTTCAATTTTTAATATTAGAGTTCCAAAAAAAATTTAATTTACTTCATATTCAGTTCAATCGTTTTATTTTGGAAATATAGTTCTGGGATAATTAGTTTTTAGAATTTCAAAAAAAAATGTATGTATAAAATATTTTCATTTAATTTACCCCACAATTCCTCTTCCAAACTTTCGTCGACGCCTCTGTCGTCGCCTTTCTAAAGTCCGAGAAGATTTCCAACAATCCCCAAGTTCTAGCACTTAAAATTCATCTCCCTCTCGGTGGCCTCAGTCTCGGGAATTGTTGTGTATAAGCTCTGTAGTCGAGCGAAAAGAAAGTTATAATTGGGATTTAATTTTCAATTTTATTTGAATTCCAATTTCGCAGGAGCTGGCGCGGCGGGGAAAGGGGAGAGCGCGCAACAACCTTTCCCGGTTTATTTGATTTTCCAGTAAACACGGCTGCCTGCTAAAGTGTTGAATACGGTTCGGAGTTCAGTTCTCCTTTAGCGCAAGAGAAACAAATATCTTGAGCTTGTTGCAATACAATGCTGGTAATAAGAGAGTAATTCATAATGAACTGGTTTGAGTATAATTTTTATTATATACATTTTGTATATAAATTTGATTTGATTATATACAGTAAGAGTCACACTTCATTGGTGACCAGTAATTGTACCTTTTGACGAGGGTAGACGTTCGATCCCACGTATTGATAGCTCCCTCAAATTCCCAACATGGATTTTCAAATGCATCATCACTCGATTTTTGCCTTTCCTGGCTCGGCCTTTAGATTCAACTATCTCACACTGTTGACCGGCGTATTTGGTGGACGCGAAGCGGATTTCTGGGATTTCGGGTTGTTTTGTAGAAAATTCAAAACATGCGCGAAAATTTTAGCTACATGTTAATGAAATAATTTTGTGAATGTCGTCCGCTTTGGTCGACCTTTAGTGAAACATCGTTGAAAATTCAAAACGTTGTTTAATGCATGAATTTCAACTAAATGTAATGAATTTTTAATTTCTTTTACGTCCAAGCACTTCTTTCATTTTCAACGGCATTAAAAGACTGCCGGATAAACAAGCTTTTTTGTGAGGATCAACGTTACCCTCAGGCCCCTATTTGCCTTACAGGTATGTTTCCTTACGTCTGTCTGGCCACCATGCCCCTATTCTGCGTCGAGACCTGGCCCCGTCGGATCCAGAGCCTTTTCACGAGATCTAATACGGATCCGTCGCCATCCTCGGACTGTATTTATTCCGACGACAAAACAAACCAGCACAAAGGCCAGTCTTTGGAAAATAACGTGAAATGGAAGCACAGATTTGTCGCAGCCCTGCTAATTTGCCACTGCGGATTGCAGCTGTTCTTGCCATACTCTCATTTTATTACAAAGGTTAGTCGGTAGGGCACACAGGGTGATTAAAAAAAAAAGAAAATATTTTCTTACTGTAGGGTTATAACAACTGGACCAAGGGCCTGTACGGCTACTCCTGGGACATGATGGTGCACTCCTGGGACACCATCCTGGTGGTGGTGAAGGTCGTGGACAACGATTCCGGCAGGGAACATTTCGTGGACGCCGGGGCGTGGACCCAAAACGACCGGTGGAATAAACACGCCGACATGTGTGTCCAGTACGCTCATTGCCTGAAGGGGAATTTATTGGAAGACAAGAAACGTGAGTGATTCAAAAAATTTTGTGTTTCACTGTTTAAAAAACTAAATGGAATTCGTGGCAATTGCTTTACTAATTCCAAACGCAAAGTAAACGCAGAGACGGCGGGCTCAAATTCCAATTAAATCATTCAATTAGAGGAACAAAAATTCTCCGCCAACAACACAAATATTTGCATTTCAAAGGCCTCGAAATTAGATTTGTATTTCATTTGCGCAAAAACCAAAACTCCCCAAAGATACTCGAAACGTGGGTAAATTCTAATTTCGGTGTTTCGCCGCCTAAAAAATTTATTAATATTGTATAATCTAGTATAAATACGTACTCGTATTCTAAATTTTTTTTTGAAGAATAATTGTTTAAGAAAAAAATATAGAAGACAGCGTAATAAAGAGGAATAATAAAGGTTATTATCAGGGCTCGACAATTGCGTGCGAAGTCAGTGGCATCACGAGGAAATTAAAAAAATAATATAATTGCTAAATATTTTAAAATAAAATTACCAGCGTCTCATCTTGTTGCAAGTGAAAAGTGCACCTTGAAACTGTATCATTAAAATGTTTTGTGTATATTTTGCTTTATCAGGCGTTAGAATGTGTCAAAAAAGATGGTTAATTTTATTGTTTTTCTCATCTTTGTCTACAATTATCCAGAATTTCCACTATGTTCGACCACACATTACTCTGTTTCTTATTTCTACAAAAGTTTTGAAGTAATGGCCATTTAAGGATATATTTCTGCTAAAATAAATAATTATTTATTATCGACAACATACGAGGTAACAGTACGTACATGAGAACTAGGTCTTATACGAACACCCAGTAGGGCAGCTGTACGAGTCGATTTATTTTATCCATTTGATTTTTAATATACCTTTTACACCGATATTAAATCCAGCCTTCAAAATAGGTTCATAATCACGACATTTTGTTACTGCTCTATCTCCATCTCTATATCTGCTCTAATTTATTACATAGCTCGAATGAGAAATTTCTATAGATGTAGCGGCTAACGGCCCATACCAAAGCGTGAAATGAAATGAACGAAATAAGCCACGGAGCGAAAAAATAGATCTCCCATCTCTCCGCTTTATTTAAGCACTGAAGTGTCGAGCTCTAGTTTTTTAAAATAATTTTATGACTAACTGGTTTTATATTTTAATTTCACCAGTTAATTATTTCGGAGTTCGAACAAGGGGTCATTTCGTGAAAATAAACTGTAACGAAAGTTGTTCGGCTTATTGGCGATCACCTCGTGATGACCTTGAATTTGACACTGACCCATATCTTCAAGGTTATTTGAAAGTCAACTTATTTTTTTTTAGTAGAAACATCTATTTTTCATTTCAAAAATTAAAAATGCGGAAAATTTTACGTCGGAGAAGAATAAAGAATTGTCGGGAGTGATTCTGGCGAGAATCACCTGCTTCAGAAGTTGTGAATTTATGACCTTGGCTTTGACCTTGACACTTTTTAAAGGTCATAATATATATGGATTGAATGACAACTCATTTTTTATAACAGAAACGACTATTTTTACTTCAGAACTGAAAATAAAGGGAAACTTTACGTCAGAACGCATAGCTCAGGTTTTGCAGAAAGTGACCCTGGAAGATTATCCCAAGAATGAAATAATAAAGAATAATAAAGAAACTTCAAGATCTGTTTAGGATTAGCATGTTTTTTAAATTATAATGCCTATTTTTTGCAGATCTTGAAGTTCATTTATTCTAGTCATCACTCTTAACAATTATTTATCTTTTGAATTATGAATGACCTTTGAGAAGGTCACTCACCAAAAACCATGCATTCCGACGTAAAAGTTTCGCTTTTTTGATTTCTGAACTGAAAAATAGACGTTTCTGCCAAAATAATTCGACAGGGAGGTCTTCTGGACCGTCGGATTTAGTCAATAACGTATGTTTGTGGGAAAAGGGAAAAGGAGAGTAACCACAACAGTTTCAACGCAGTCAAAGATTTTAACCTAAATGAAAATGGATAAAAAATTGGTTTGACGAAATGTGGGTTTTGTACGAATGTAACAATGTTTTATTTGTGTTGATTTTAATCTGCATTAGTGATCACGCACATCGTATATTAGTTCTAATAATACTTTCGTTTCGGAATCGAATAAAGTAAGTCGACGTAAGTGATATAACGGATTCGATTCTATAATTGAGCTGAAACTCAACGTAGGGAATGTTTCGTATGTTAGTTTTGGAAAGAATTACATTTTTAAATCCTTAGTACAAAGACAACAAAGACAAATAACAGAAGCATGGAATTTTCCATTAGAGAATTACGCCTGATGAACTAAAAGATGTAATCTTCCAGCCACGACATAATAGCATGACGGTGAATATTTTTCAGATGAATCGGTGTCTTCCCTTCAACCCAAAGACATGCCCAACTACATTACATCCGACAACATCTCTATCTACGTGGACGTGTGGTGTTCGCTGAACAAGCGCTTCCAGCAGCGTATGTACGACCCCAACTACGACCTTCTGAAAGCCAACTGGTCGCCCTACGAACCCGTAGAGTGGCTGATGCCCGTCCTCGCCGAGTACAGCGGTTTCAGGACCACCATGAACGACATAAGCAAGGAGGTCTACTCGTGGTCCAACAACAGCGACGTGCTGTTCATCGCCGATTTTCCAGGTAGACGCGAGACTGATAAACGTTGATTTCATTCATTTCCTTTACATTTTCAGGCATGTACTTGGAGAACTTCATCAACAGCGACTTGCAGAACGTGACGCTTACGGTACTGGAAGGAAAGGTGGTGTTCGAGATGGAGGATCAGGAGACCTTGCAGTCGATAGGAGTGCCGTTGAAGAAAGGGGACCGCGTTCCGGTCGAAGTGGGGGTTTTCCACAAAATCCACACTGTCGGCGAATCGCCCTCCTGTTACATGTATACTTTCGTTAGGGATGGGGTGCTGGACCAGGAGGAGACCGACCAGAAGTATACGATGTATTCGCCGTTTCCTCTCGTCGAAGACGTCCAGGATAGGATGGAATCGTTATTGAGGATGTGGCGGCATATTGGGAGCTCTTTCCTGTACGTGCTATTGGGCAGGCCCTATCAGCTAAGAAGCAAGAAGTGAACAGGTACCTACACAGTTAACTACTAATTTTGCGATTGGAACCATAATAGCATAGGTAGAACTAATTAATATAAAAGTATTAAAAAAACATACAGAGCACTTTAAGCTTTTAGGCGTTGGTTGTATTTTAAAACTCATTGAATCTCTTTTTACTAACGATACTTAACGATATACACTGGAAAGGCTGGTAAGTCTGCTGGAGTGGACTTGACTTTCTCTCGGGCCTTCGGGCCTCGTGCTCCAATTAGATCATAAAACTTGAAAAAAATATTATTAGACATTTTATTGTACTTTATGACGGGGAAGGGTATGTAGAATGATAATATTAAAAAAGTAACTCGGAAGAAGTGACGCTTGGAAAATTGCAAATAAGTTGCGTGTTTTTTACTTTTTTGTACTGCCCACCAAAATCTAGACGACCTATCGGTATATTAGCCATTTCATGTTGTTTAAGTTGCTTAAAGTCACATTTCAACAATTTTTAAATGTAAAATAAAGTCGGACGCGGAAATATCAATTTTCGAAAATTTCGCATTATTATTGTGACAAGCGATGGATGTTGATGAAATTTATGGAAAAGACGATCAATCCAATGTCCAATGTGTGTGGCAAACGCCGATTCGATTAACCGTGAAATTGTTGCTTCAGCTATTTGCTAATTAATTTCGTTTGTTTTTTTGCAACTAATTGTTAAATTACCAAACGTTAATTCTGGATCGTAGATGTAGGTTCCAAATTGATCCAAAAAAACGTATCGAAGCAAAAAATTTTCAAAAAGTTGAAATTTAGTAGCCGTTTACAACTAACAACGTAGGACGTGCAAAATAGCGTTATAAACAATTTGTCCTAAGATCTGGCAAATGCTGCTCGAGAATTTGCTCTTTCTGCATTAAATAGAGCTTATTTTTACGGTAATTTAAAATTAACAGAGAAATCACCTACGCCTCTTTGTTCCCAAGATAACCTTATTTTTATAATGTCTAATAATTGTTAATTGGACGTATGGACTAAAGTTTTAGAGACACTTAAAGAAAGGGTTAAACTTTTATTTCCAAAACCGGCGTTCCTTCTCCCGCCTGCAGGCCGTTCGTTACCGTTAACTTTTACTGCCGCTAAAACGTTTTTGGACTGTCAATGTAAAACTTTTTGAAAATAAAAGTTGAGCCCTTTGTTTAATTGTCTCTAAAATCTCGGTCAGATACGTCCGTTAATGAACAATTAACGTTATAAAAAAAGAAGTTATATTGGGAACAAAGAGGCGTAGGTGACTTTTTTTAATTACCGTAAAAATAAGCTCTATTTAATGCAAAAAGAGCGAATTCCCGAGCAGCTTCTGCCTAATCTTGTAAACGGCTACTTAATTTCAACTTTTTGAAATTTTTTTATTTCGATACGTTTTCGTTACTTCTAAAATTAACATTTAGTAATTAAACAATTAATTAAAAAAAAAACGGAGGAAATTAATTAACAAATACCTGGAGCGACAATCTTACGGTCAGTTGAAAGGTCATTGGATTGACCTTTTCCATAAATTTCATCAACATCCATCGCCTTTTGCAATAATAGTGCGCAATTTTCGAAAACTGATATTTCCGCGTCCGACCTTTATTTTACAGTTAACAAATTTGTGAAAAATGACTCTAGTACTACCAGAAAAGATGACATACATTTTAACAGAACAAACTTAGTATTTTCAAAATTGTTTTGATTTTTTTACCCAGGAATTTCTTTTATTGCCTCCTCCTCCTCTCTCTGTTTTTGTTCTTCTCCCACTACTGAATTTAATAAAATGTAGAACATTGGTAGTATGCCTACTTGGTAAAATTATTGCAAGTCAAAAATTCAAAAATTTAATTTAAAAAGTTTTGACATGTGAACGACGTTCTGAACCTAAAAAGCTTTTCAAAGCTTGGGGAGATGTCGGGATGACATGGAGGGAGTGCACAACTCACAGGGAAGGGAGCAAAACAGTCTCGCTTGATGTTCTCAATGGGTTAAATGAGGGGATCGAAAATAAATACGAGTCAGAGAAGAGTTTCCTTTTTTATTAAAAAATAATATATACATAAAAATAAATTTGGAAATAACAGTATTTACAGGAGTATTTCAAACTAAGAGAACTTCCTGCGTAACATCCGGCACCCCCCTTCCCTTCTATTGCATCGTTGAAAATTATTGTCGGTTTGTACACAACACATCGGATCCTACGCAGGAAGCTACGTTAAATAACAAAGTAAAAAATAAATAACTTAATTCTTTTCGGAAATTGTTCCTAACACAGTTGTCATAGGTTTTTCAAATTGAGACATCTTACTATCAGAGTTAATATTAGCTAGAGGGTTCACGGTTATATTAGGTCCTTGAGGAGTTCTAGCCGGCCCCTCCAGGAAGAAAGTTTCCATGGAACCTTTGCCTTTCACTTCTATCGATCCCCTGCACGTCGTCGGGTAACCTTTGGCTTGGAGAATTTGGTTAACTTCTTTAGTTATCTGGAAAAAGAAATCAAACTCGTAATTCCATTTTTACAGTATAATCGAGGTTGTTGAATAGTGATGAGGCATTATGTAGTTTTTGGCAAAGTTTCAGAATCGCTGTATTCTGAAATCATGTATGTATTAACCATCTCTATATTGATTCAACACTACCACCACTGTCAATTACCACTACAACAACTACAATAATCACAATAATTGCTATTGAAACGACATCTACAGTGACAAACAACAATAATTAAAATGATAGCAACAACAATATCTATTAAAGTGAAACTGACACTCCACCGCGAAAAGAGACGTATGGTATTATCAAAAGCTTTCCTCGCGAGCCGCGCAGCGGCGAGCCGTGGGGCCCGAAAGGCCCCTCGGTCCTTCCTTTATCTAAAAGTCGTATTTTGAAGGCGATCTGTTCGTGCCTTATATGTGACATTTCCACTTTAAAAAGAGTCCTCGCCGAAAATATTTTTTTTCGGTGGGAGAGAGATATCCGAAGTATATCCGATATTTAAACAGATATGGAGACAAACGTCAGTGAAGACGTCAAAATAAATTTTGTCATTTGACGCGTTTGCCCGGCCGATCGGGCCACGGTGAGCCTTTATATTGCCGTTATGCACCGGTTTCGATCTTTTAGAGAGGCAACTTTGGCGATAAAACTTGATTTGAACATTTTCAATTTTTTGTGTAGTGTACATTCGCGGAGAACCAACGTTTCAAATAGCCCGTGCAGACTCCACCCAGCGTTAAATCGCCGTAGCTAATTTTGTAAACTTACGACTGCGAAGCCGAAGGTCCGGGGTTCGAATCGCGGGTGGGTCACATTTTTTTTTGGGAAAATGTTATATATTATTTACCAACCCACAGAGAACGCATCGCGCAGCGGTGTTCGAGTCGTGCGCAGCGCGGCCCGAGGGCCGAAGAGAAAGGTTAAGTCCGCATCAGCGGACTTGCCTACCTTTCTAGTTACAACTTTATAATAATAATACCACCAGTAGCAGTATGCTCAGAAAACAAGGCAGAAAATAGATAATAGGGAAGAAGAACAATAAGAAGAACAACAACAAGAAGAAGACAAAGAAGAAGAAGACGAATAACAAGAAGAGGACGGAGAACAAGAACAATAATACTGGTAGCGATAGTTGCGAAAATGGTAGTTGTAGTGGTAGTAGTAGTGGTAGTTTAACTGCTTTTTTACACCATTTGGAAAAATATTTAATTCCTCGCATAAACCTCTTTCTTAAAAAAAGAGACGCGATAAGAATGACTCCGGTGAAATGAAATTGATTTCTGAGGCTTTGTCCTCTCGTGGAAGATTAAAAATTCATGCCCTGATAAATAATTACCTCTTGCAGAGATGAGAATAAAGCAAAACATAAACGGGAGTAAAACGGCTATTATTATTTCCTGATACAATCTTTACATCATATTTCAAAAGCGGGTAGTAATAAACAAAGTAGGATATCACAGCAATTTCGCTTCGTTTACCCCACTTTGTTATTGACGTTCAGAACTCCCCGCGCTTTGATGTCTGTGACATAAAAGGCCTAAATGTTATCACGCAGTGAATCTACCAAGGCATTAAATAAAGTAAAAAATATATATCTTGGCCTACCTGGATTTTATCACAAACGCCTGTGCTGTCCATCCTGCTGGCCACGTTGACGGCGTTGCCCCAGATGTCGTACTGAGGCTTCCTGGCCCCTATGACGCCCGCCACCACGGGGCCCACGTTAATCCCGATACGGATCCTGAAGTGATTGAACGAGTGCTCGTTCACTTCCTCCAGCAACTCCTTCAGCCTCAGGGCGTAGTCCGCCATTGCCGTCACGTGCTTGAAGCTCTGCATGTCGCACGTGTTTTGAGTTAATCCTGGAAACGAGTTCACGCTGATTAAAGGCGACGTGGTTGTCATTGTTATATGAGTTTTATGTAATATGTCACTCGCCACTGGTGTAGATAATAAATAAACACGAGCCCTAACAATTAAATGTTCGAATGGTATTTATTTAAATTTGATTCGATTTTTAAATAATGTTTTTAAAATTCACCTCAACTATATAATAATGATTGTCACAAATCAAATTGAGTTGTTAAAATAGTCGACTGACTAGTATTTATTAGAAAGGAACAGTTAAACTTCACTATTAGCCAAAAGCTCTAAAATGTGATGATAAGTACATGTTTGGTCGGAAAAGTTTGCTAATGATTTAGTAATTCGTAACTTCTCCTTTGGTTTTTATAATAGTGCGAATTCTCTTTGGTAATTCGCAAATCTCCTGGATTTTTCTTTTGAGATCAGGAATTGCCCTTTGGACAAGGACTTTTTCGTGTGGTGTCATAATGTTTCAACTACATTTTGGTCTGGTCTGCTTGAGAATCAGCTGAATAAAAATTTAATATCTTCAAACTATTTTCTGTAAGATTGACTGTATGATGCACCGTCCTGCTAGAAAATACAATCTCTTTCTCGCCAAATTGTTGTGATTTCATGAGCAGCATAGACTTTAAAACTACTGGACTGCCATGTCAATTTGCCAATATAAACGGCAATCGCACAGACGTGTGCGAAAGAGAGAGAGCTAGTGCGGGCTTAAGCCTCGTTGACAAAACTTCGACTGCAGCGCCTTACACATGTATCATCACGCTATTGCTTTCGATTCCTTACACTATTTATCAGTTGGGACATATTATCGCTTTCAGTTAAACTGACAACTTATTTTGAGGATGCGGGAACTAAGATAATGTAATAAGTTATCAACTGTTACTGCTAAAATTATCGCTCATTCGAACATTTACTTGTTAGGGCTCGTATATCAGTTTGATATGTTCCTAATTACATAAAAGATAAATCATGTCAATTTCCGCCGGCCATTTTCAAGTCCATAAATTATGAACAGTGCCGCGGCGTCCGCAGCTAATTATGGAAAATCTGTTTTATTAATCTAAAGTGCGGTCACTCGATACTAAATAAACAATGGATGCTAATTTGACCGGCCACCCGTGATTCATATTTAAGAGCGTCAATTGATATTTTGTGCTTCAGTAAATGCTAATTATTATGATTTGTAAAATATTTCATTGTCCATGTGCAAATAAAAAATACGATTTTTAAATTAGTTAAATATTCGTTATATTTTATGTAGTTTTACAGCTGAATCTGGAGATGGAAATTTAAACCTACTGGAACGCGCTGGCCTTTCTTTTGAGATTGGAGGTGGGAGAAGAGAGGAAAAATTCCGTCCACCTATCTTTCTCTCTTTTAGCGTAAACACACAATTTGCTGCTTATATTTCTCACTTAATGTTTTAATTTTATTCGTTAAGAATAAAATAGGGTACGCAATGCGGTTAAACAACTGTCAACGTCAAAATAATACTTTTACTTTTAAATAATGATATCGTGGGACACAACTAATGCCCCGGCTGGCAGTGAATTACACTAACAATATCTAGTAAATAGCTAAGATCATTCGTGGGAGTCAGTTTAGGACCGGTTTTGAACCGACCTGTCTGGCGACTCTTCTGACAACGGTCTTAGCCATTTACTAGATATTGGGGGTGTAATTTAATACCAATAGAGGCATATAGTCCGTTAAGTAGTTGCGTTTTTTTAGTGCGATAATAGTCACATTTTCATAGCAGAGATTAGTAGGTCACTATGTGTCAGTAGGTGCAAATAACAAGTCATTTTGCGCCGATAGACACTAAGCAGTTTGCAGTTTCCTGAGTTATTTTATGAAATGAGTCGGAAACAAATTCTAATGAATCTGTATATACCTGTATCTATACAAAATTAACAGAGTTTTCGTCTTATTTACACTAAGTGCGCAGTATATCTTCGACCTGTAGTTACTATCAACTCGAACAAAAAGTGAAGGTAGTCTCAGTGCACATTGAATGAACAAAAAGTAAACTGAAAACGCTCTAGTTTTAACGAAAATGTCATAATTTTTCCAATGTTGACATGATATAAAGAAAATTAACTGTTTACAATTTTGCAGTTTTTTTTTTCTTGGAGCCAAAATGGAGGGATTCTAACGGGACTCTAAAGCTTTGGTTTCCTAGAAAAGTGGTACCGTAATAGCGGTCGTAATATGACGTAAATGAAAACAGTTTTTGACGGTAAACAAAAATGTTGCAACAAATGTTTCTCGCTGTACTGTCTGCCGTCAAAATATATTGCATCATTTTTATACGCCGCCCGGTGTTTACCGCTCTCCATTTACATCTATAAGAGTGCTTTTTTGCGATCTCATATTACGGCATCGCTTTCCTGTGAAACCAAAGCTTAATCAAGGACAGGAGTTACCTGAGGCGGCCATGTACGTGGCCCCAGTGGACTTGATCTTCTCGATGTAGCGGAACTGTTCCTCGGACAACAGCTCGTCGAAATCAGCGATGATCTCGTTCAGCAGCCGCAGGCACTCCACCCCCTCGTTGTTGGCCTCCAGCTCTACGTAGAACTCCGAGAAATTAGGAATGGATGCGAACATGATGCATACAAAGTCGCACTGCTCGTGGTAGAGCTCCTAGAAAAAAAAAGTTTTTTTTTTTGAGGTTAGAAATGGACAATAAATTTAATTGTGAAAAAGTAACGACAAATAACCAATAACAAATAAAACTGATTAAATTCAAATTCAAGTATTCGAATTAATTTTCGATCGGCTTTAATTTCCCAGTAATTCAAACATTAATTAGTTACGTTCGCATAAGCTGCATAATCACTATGCTAAACCGAGTTATGAATCCTGTGGGATCAACGGGATCGGTTTGGGTACACGGAACACGAGATACGCTTCAAAATTCTAGTAAACTTTGTACTACCGCTGCGCTTATTAGAAATTCAGCGGGGGTTTGTTCACTAATGCAGTGCGCAAATGGCGGATTTCCCCGCAGATTTCCGATCTCTTATTGAAAGAAAATGTGAGGCTATTTTTAATTTCGTCGGTGCAATTTCACGGAATATTTTAGTATTTCAGAATCAGTACCAGGCTGGCACATCTGAATACAAATTATTTTTTTTGTAGATTATAATTAAAAATATGTGAATGGACGTTTTACTCACGTCATTGTTTTTGGGACTGTTCAGAAAATGCTCTGCCACGTGGACAGGAAGTATATTGGCCAGCAGTTTTCTGTTGTAGGCCTCGAGATGTTCCATATCTTCTTTCTCCTCTGAAAAAAGAAAACGGGTTATGATTTTTGCTGGATTTGATGATCCACGTACAACACTGATCTGGCATAAAAAATTGAAATTACAAAGATTCAGTAGAGGGAAAATCTGCTCTACTATTACACTTATAATCTAAAGCCTGAACGCTACGCCTATGACGTCACTTTAGTGGTGAAAGATATGTCGATAAGCAATAAAACGAAACGATGTATAGTTCTATAGCTACATACTTTAGTACATTTAATTAAGAACAAAAGAAGTCTTTGATTTGGAATCAGCAACATACATTTTAAAACGCTTCTTGTTCAAATGGAATTACCATTCGTTGTTGATAACTAAATCAACTAAATCACAATTTTGTTCCATGTCAAGTCACAGTAAAAAAAACATGTCATCGTCTGCTAAACGGTAAGACCAATACCCGTGCGATTTCAATCCGACGTGGTCTAGTTATGGTTAAATTGACTGTTGATATATGTTGACGGCACAAGATTCCATTCAAATCTTCCAAATCAAATCTATGTTTGGTAAACACAACCTCAAAACATAAATCGTTGAAAAGGTATGCAGCTATTAAATTTAAACTGATTTCGTTGAATTTAATTGCACCGGTTTTATACAGCACAGATAATCTGCCAAAAATGATTAAACAAGGCCAATATGTAAAAAGTTTTGCAATATAATCTTATATTTCCCGAAATTATAGAATTGAACCACTGAGAATGACGTCACAAAATAGTGGTAAGTCAGATGTGAGGCCTTCTCGTGGCCAGTGATGCTGATGACTACTTACCCGTGGCTTGCAGTTTCCAGACGAAGTCCAGCCGGTACGTCGCTTCGGTTTGCTGGCCGTGCACTATCAGGGCGATGACGAAACCCGCCAGTATGATGACGTTTGCGTACTGCTGAGTCAAAGTGAGATCGCTGCAAACAACCAACCATGACAGATAACGCCTGCGGCACTGAGTAATTAGGATAATTTAATCAAAAACACAGCTTGTAATTAATATCAGGCGCCCGATATATTTACATATTCATAATTTAATGACAGTGATTAAGTTAATCACGGGCACGGCTGACTGCGATCTATACTGAAAGGGGGAAAAAATGGTACACTTAAAAAAGTGTAATATAATGACAAAAGAAGTTAATTTGAATTTGTAAGTTCAGATTAATCACAAAAAAAAAGTCTGAAATATTTATCATCAATCACTGACGATGTAATATATTTGGAGGAAGTAGACAAAACAATTAATTTTAAAATAAAAACTTTTCTTTCAATTTTTCAATTCTCAAACATGTGTACCCTGTAGAAGTCGTTAATAATAAGTTTTATCGTTTAGGATAGGATTTTATCGTTTTGTAATCTTTCAAAATATAACCTCTTCCGCAATTCTTTAAGCAATCTGGAAAAATTTCCAATTCGAAACGATAAATCAGACAACCCGACTCTCGCGATTCCGATTCCAAGCAAACCCTCCTCGATCTAAATTAGCATAAATTTTCCGCTAAAATCTGAAAAGATCAGTTGTCAGCCCTTACCTGTTCCTGAACAGACAGGGAATGGAGTGCATTTCTTTGGAGTGGATGAGATAGACGGACACGAAGCCGGCCAGGCCGCCCAGTAGGATGATTGTCTTCAGTAGAGAGATAAGGATCTGATAGACGGCGCACGCTATCATCGAGACCAGAACGAGGAGTAGAAGGTACTACAAAGCGTCGATAAAATAATGGGAACGGATACGGACGGAATGAGAAAGTTGTGCGTGTTTCACAAAATTTTTATAAAATTTTTGACACCGTTTACAAATAAAACTGAATAGAAAGTAACAGAAGACATCTGGGCAATTTATTCTGCTATGTGTATGATTTCTTTCAAGAATATCGATGGGTAACCTAATACCCGTTATTTACCCAATAACCAATATGTAATATTAGCTGCGTATCGCTTTCTTTGTGCGTCAGGGCTGGGAAATCTTATACAGAACGGAAAGTTTAACTGGAACAAATTAATAAATAAAGGTTTGTCGCAAAATTCCTGAAACACGTCAATTTTTATTTTCAGTGGGGCATATTACAAAGAAGTTTATGTATTTATTTATTTAATTATGTGCGGGGTTGCAGCAACCCCCAACTTTTTCTTTAAATGGAAGGGTAGGTTGATAAATTTTTTATGTTAAAGCTTTTCCAATTGCAAATACAATTACGTATTTTTTGTCACTTTATAAACAATGTGTCGGAAAAAAATAAAATAAGGAAATGTTTACTGAAACTTAAAGTTTATACGTATAGTAGGGTGACCCAAAAAAAAACGAATATTTTTTTTCGTGTCTCTTGTGAAAATATGTTAGATTATCATGTTTTAAGAGACCCCTCAAAAAATCAGCTCAAAAAAATTTTTTTAGAGCTCAATACATATTTTTAAAAATTTCCAAAATCATCAAATATTGAATTTTTTTCTCGTCATTTTACCATTTTCTAGGTTGAAAAACTCGATTCTGAAAATCTCAAATCGATATTTTAATTTTTAAAAGTCACTCATAATTATTTTAACTTTCAAAATACTCTAAAAATAAATATCAACGAACCCTTTTTTTTATTGAATTTGATGAACAAAAGAATAGGAATAAATCACGAGTCACTTAAAAAATTTATCGAGGCAAAATTTACTACCGCACTGTGAGTATCAAATATGCATTTATAATTTTTTAATTTTTTAAAATAAGTATTTCGTGATTTATTTATATTCCTTTGTTCATCAAATTCAATAAAAAAAATTATTAGTTCGTTAATATTTATTTTTAGGTCGCTCGAAAACATTTTGGGTAAACTACTTTGAAAGTTAAAATAATTATGAGTGAGCTTTCGAAATTAAAATATCGATTTGAAATTTTCAGAATCGCGATTTTTTTCAAGCTATAGTAGGATCATATTCGATGCAAATCATTGCCTGTCAAGGGATCCAAAGCAGTACGCTTTTAAGGGTTTTAGAAATTGAATAATTTCTTTTTATATTATGAAGGGACAGGGGATCAGTTCTCGTCTGGCACCCTTGTTCCTACAAAAATTCCTTTATTCTCATAAACTATTTATTTTAAATGTAATTTATTATAAATCCAATTTGTTTTTTAAATTCCACATATACCTCTGTACGCGCCACTGTTGTTTACTTGTTTTTTGGAGGCAGTCTCCGTTTTACGACCAAGCTCGCCAGGTTAGTATTTGACGTATAACCGACCACTTCGTACACTCGATGCACCTGGGGGACTATAGCTACTACCAGAACACAGTGCGTATGCAGCGGTATTTCAGATTTTACAATCAATTTCATTTTAAATTTGAAATGGTTCATCTTACGCCTCCTAAAAATAATGAAGCGATTTTCCTTTGATAAAAGACCAACTTTTTGCTCTACTTTGCATCGAATACGATCCTACTATAGAAAATTATAAAATAACGAAAAATAAAATTTAAAAAAAATAATTTTTTGACGATTTTGGACATTTTTAAAAATCTTGAGCGACCTCTAAAAAATTATTTTTGAGCTGATTTTTTGAGGGGGTCTTAAAACATGATAAACTAACATATTTTCACAAGAGACACGAAAAAAAATATTCGTTTTTTTTTGGGCCATCCTAGTGTTTATAGAGAATAAACATTAAAATACAGTTTCCCAATAATATCTCTAAAAAAAGTTTCTTTTTATGACGAAAATGTAACTTTAATTACGTAACGGAAAAATAGTCTTTAGTATGGCCCTAAATGAAAAAATAATGATTTAACATAATGTGAATGTGTCTGCATAATAGGCGAATCACTTTAAACTTACGCTTTACGCATTTAAATTTTGACAGAAGGAATATCCCTATTTATCAAGAGAAAAAAACGTACATTTTAAAACACAAAATTTATAAAACAGTAACTAGCGCAATAATGGATAGTAATATTTTTAACCTGTAAGCACAAATGTAAACAAATGTAACAGTAAGAATTAATACATTGACATTGACTGTCACGCTTTGTTTACGCGATTCTTCAGGTGCAAGAAGCCGATGCTCCTTACTTATATGCCTGCATTGCTTCTAGAATTATTTATGAGGCTATGAAATGGCACAAGATCTCCATGTATTGGTTGGTTCTCTTATACTTATAATTATGAAATAAAATCATTATTTTTAATTATGATTTTATTTCATTTAACATCAGAAATGTTTTTAATTTTATTCTCTATAAACACCACACTAATAAATAAACTGTATGCTATGTTTTATACAAGTTTAACCGAAGAGTAGTAATAAAATATTTTTGTAATGATTAATAATGCATATCGATATTAATTTATCCCAAGTGAATATTAAAATTTTTAAGATATGCTTTACTTAGAGCTATTTTATTTGAGTGATTGGTGAAAATTATAGTAATCGGGTTGTGAAAAGACAGGTGTTAACAAGTGCTCGAGTAATTAAAGAGTATGCGGGTTCTTAACAGCTAACACATAATTAGCAGGTAAAGGTAAATACCGGGTATTACAAATGGATATTGAAATTAGCGGATATCCCTATTATTTGCTTTATACAAGGATAATAATTTATCGTACCTACATTTATTATTGAAAAAACGGTGTAATTTTCACCTTTTTTGGGTAAAAGTAAATTGCCCATGTTGTTTCCAATGAAAAATGCACAACCTTGAATATAGTAAAGAAAATATTGCAAATTTACTCACATCTACTAAAAAATAAGGTTTACAGTCTTTATTTCCGTTATCGTTGTTTAACGATACATTCAAGTAACTGGTACAGTTGTGCCCACCGACAAGTGTTGAGTTTAAACATTGGATCTCAATCGGAAGAGATAACTGAAAATATATTTAAACAATATGACCAATACTGTAAATTTTGTTTAATGAAAGGATAATGCCTGTTGCTTTTTAATATAAAAAAAAATATCTACTCACCGCCTGGAGCATAACTAACCCATATATACAAACTCCCATGATGGAAGAAAAGATTTGAGCAACGCTTCGATTCTTCTGGATTATCCTCGAAAGAGCAAACAGCTTGAACTGCGAATTCTTAAACAAAACATTTTTAAAACACCGGTTACGTGCTTTTATCCACGTCCACCTACCTGTTTGTTCATGTTTTCCATGTAAACTAAAATGGGGACGAAAATTATCAACGAAACTATAGGAACTGAACACAATATTGCAGTGTCGTTACTGAAAACAAACGGATCGATTTAATTTCGTCAGTTTATCAGGTATTTGAGAGCTTACCGTCTAAATAAAGCTATTTGTACCAGGACAATTGTGACGAAACAAATAGTGGAACAAAAAAAGTATAAGGTGAGCATCCGATCCTTTTCCAGGACATACTGGAAAGAGAATTTTGAACAAACATATTCATGTTGTAATTGCCATAACCAAGGAAGTATGACCAATTTACTTGCGTCCGTTTACGCCGACGAAGGGCAAAATTACAGCAATTTACAAGTTGGTTATTCTCTTTCACAATGTTTAATATTTAATCTGTATTTTGAGAGTTGGAAAACTCCCTAATTTGAGCAGAGGATGACAGTAAATTGATCTCAAGGAACTAACTTCCTCATGAACCTTTTAATTCAGTCTTCAAACCCCTACCTTCGCCTCCTTTAGAGGATCCCTAAAATTAAGCAGCAGCGTCCTGCAATGCTCGGACCGCAATCTGTCAATGCTGCGCGCGTCGATGGCTTTCATCAAGTACTCGTTTACCTCGTCTTCAGGATTCTTCTCTCTCTCCGGCGGCTCGTTAAAGCCTAGCCTAAAACAAACACATCGCTTTTACTTATTTTTGTCGAACGCCTAGGACTGATAAAAGCGAAAACACTCAACCGAGTACTTACTTCGACGAGTGTCCGTGTTGGGACCCGTGGCCCATTATCCTCATTTCCTTGGCCACGTTCCCGTTCATAGGGTGGTTCTGGTACGGCACCGAACTGTCCTGCAACAAAACTTTCGCTCAGTCACCGCCCGAGAAGTTTTTAATTGGGGCAGAGGCGAATACAACTTTGGCTCGTTTGTAACGTGGAATGATAATTAGGGAAGAGGAAAACGGTTTAAAAAAATGTGTACCCCTCTTAGCGGTGTTGAAGTAAAACTCTTCCATGCGCAACTTCTGATGAATGATGATGATACAGTGGACTATCTTCGAGTCGCTAGAAGCGAAATATAAAACAGACCCCGCGGTAATAAGTCTTCTAAAATACTTAATCCATAACCTCATTTAAGATGCCTTCTGTAGAGCCGTTAACGTTTCCACCTCAATGGACTTGTTATTATTTTTTTCTGGAGAATTAATTCGCAGAGACTTTGAAGCGTTATTTGGGTTTATCCGAAAGGGGAATACAGTACGGAAAAGCGAAAGGGTCTCGGGATAAAGGGGAAATATAAATCCTACCCGTGATGCTGCAAAATCTTGCTTATACGGAAAATCCACGTGAAAGAAAAAACAAATAAAAAATCCATTCAGATAAACACCATGTCTTCGTGGAGCTTTCCTCGGGCTTATCTGTGTATAGCGTCTTACCCCCTTTATTTCTACTGATTTGACAATAACAGCGAAAAAATTGATACTGTTTTTTTAAAGAAAAATGGGATTTGTCACAATTCAGTAAACCCATAAGATTCTAAATAAATAAATGAAAAATATTTCGACATTTTCAAATGGGCCTACACTTACACCAAAATTACTCTTTCAATTTTTTCAGCAACTTTTGTTAAAACTTCTTCAAGGTGAAATATGATTTAATATTTTACGACAAGTTTCCACAGACAATTATCATTTATCAGCGACCAATTTTGTATGCTACATCAAGACAACCACTTCTATAATTCAGTATGGCATTACGGGGAGGAATGAGATTCGTGAAGTGATGTATTATTTAAATTAAAATCCGAAAGCCTGTTCAGTAAGAGTAACATTTTATTTCGGGAGTTGCACACCGTGAAAGACCGAGATGAAACGGAATATGAGTGTATTACGTCTCTAGTTATGTACAGATATGCACGATTTATGTGAAAATGGAACAGGGTTTCAATGTGAATAAATAAAAATATGAATTTAATACACACGAAACATTTAATATGACTAGATCTAGGTGAGCATGAATTTTAAAAGAAAGTGTATGCTGAAAAAATGACACTGACACAAAGCAACATCCATCCAACTTACCCCCCTGTAGGATGGAGCCACGATGAGGTAAGTGTCGATGTTGTGGTCCTTAAGGTAAGAGTTACGTTCTCCCCCGTTGCCCGGCTCCACCACGTAGTCATTCCCTAGAAATTTAAGGGTCTCTTTGGTAATGTGGACCCTCCTGCAATAATTCGGAACATCAGGGCGTTATCTTTAACTGTTTCCCGGGCGATATATCACAGTTACATGAGAGACAATGGGCCAAATCACACGTATCTATCTACTCGAGCGGTTTCAGAAACTTGTAAAGAAATCAAACAAACTCTCCATCTATCCCACTTTAGTTTCTGCTGAAATTCTCAAATGTTATACCTCAGGGATATGCACTTGAGCCCCTACGCGTCATGATATGCGTTAATGATTTTTTCTAGTAATAATAGTATATTATGCAATGAGAATTTAATGACGGATATTAAAATATAAGTACAAGAATTAGGATACGGGCTGTAGGCTAGTACTGCAATGAATACCAGTCGTAATAATGTAGAATTAGCACTATATTTTCAAGATTTAATAAATTTATAATAAAATTAAGAGTTACAACTAAGGAAATATCAAGGAAACTTTATTAAAAACAAAACAGAAATGTCCGAAAATCAAGATTTAATAAAAAGTAGTTATTACAAATCAACTGCAGTACGTTTAGAGGTTTATTTAACAGTACTGGTGGTTTGACTATATTCAATCGAATTCAAAATTAGATTTTACGTTGATGCTATGTTGACTTTATTTTGAATTGATTCGTCAACATAGTCTTGGGCAACTGCTGTGGATTTCCATCCATCGTACGTTTTAGTGAAGTTATGTCACCACCAGCATCAACAAATATTGTGGGGGAACTTTGGTAAAAGCAGTGGTAAAAGCAATTCGGAAGGTCTAATTGTAAGTAGAAATTTCATTTTCCACGTATCCGAATTTGTTAGTTCCTTATGCTTTTTCCTTTGTTTGTGTATCTTTAATTTTAAGCAAAAGGGTTGATCAAAAATCAACATCTCTATATTCCAATTCGTTTAAATCATGAATTCTACAAGCTTCCAAAATACCAGAGATACATGTAAACTACTCAACAACAACTACTCCGGGAGCTAGCTAGTAGGTAGTTGTTTCTCGCAACACTGACACTTCAAACATTGTGTTACGCCTTCTGTGGGTGGCAGTCGTGCAACAAAGTACCTGCAGTTAGCAGGTCGCTTCCTACTGTAGCCATTTGAATGGCACAGTTGTGAGTCCGCACGACAGATGGAGCCATTTGCAACATTTACCGCGTACAATGTATTTCCGGGGTCGTTTGTCAGTTGTCGCATCATCACTGATGAGGACTAATAAGTCCGAAACCGGTCTGTGCCTGGTGGGTTAAACTGACAAACGATCCTAGCTGTTGCACTAGGTGTTGCGAGTATAATTCAATGCCGGTAAGGGCATATAGCTTTCGGAGTAATTGTTTCTCGCAACACTTCATCGTCTTTTGTTTGTTTTTTTTTTTGATAACTCATCAAAATATACAAATTGAAGTTTTATAAAAAGCTACTAACCTTACTTTTATCCCTTCAATCCATAAACTTAGTAAAATTTTACATATGTTTCTGCTTATTTTACAAGTAATAAATTATTTACTGTTCTTGTGGTTCCACAATTTTTGATGGTGTTAAATTCTCAATTTTACTCTTGCTACCGAACATTTTCACTGATTTTACTTGCAAAGTTAAACATTTTATGAATTTATAAGCAAACACATGTGTGAATATAGCATGGTGTGCTCGTCAACCGATTCAGTTTCATTCTGCCTACGCATGACGTCAGCAAAGACCTGCCGTTTTGGCAGGGTGACAACTTATCCTAAAAAATTTGGGAAAAGATATGTCATGACGAATGGAGTCAATATCGTAAAAAAAAATTTTGTAAAATCGTTATAGTTTCCGAGAAAAAAATTGTTGAAGTTATAGTATTTTCAACCTTTACATTGCTGGACTACTGTAGTCTCTAGCGTTATTCGCGTTGTACGTTGTGCGCAATGCCCTCTCTTTCCACATATCTCCCGGTGATTCCCAATACTGAAATCCGATGTTAGTATTTACGTTTTTGCGATAGTGTTTACATTAGTTTTTCAAGTGTCAAAAATGGTTTACGGGTATAGCAACTCGGAATTGATGGATATCGTTTTAATTTGTGATGAAGCAAGACAAATTTGAGCAGTGGTTGTAACATCAGATATGTCAAATAATTTTATTAATTAAAATCATAAATTAATTTTATTAATTAATAATAAAATTCCCTGTAAATGCAGTTGAATTTGCTGATCTAAAATAGGTGTCATAAAATTTTATTTATTTCTTTCTTGGGAAAGAAATAAATAAAATCAGTGTATCATCATTTTCGAACTGCCCTCTTTGATTTACAAAATTGTATTTGTAAGAGTCCTCTGTACATATTTTTTTTTGTATAAGTTCCGAATCAACTTGTATAATATAAATATAAGTAAGACGTAAAACATTTACATTATGGTGAGAATCATGAATAAAAAATCAGTTTAAGTGTGTAGAGTCTAAATGTGAATGTGACCTTTGTTTTTCTGTCAAGTTTGAAGTTTGAAGAAGTATCTGTTTTGCACAATAAATTGAATTGTCAAAATGTGTACGAAACAGCTTTGAATTATTAAAAAAACGACAAAAAGTTTTCATGCCAATATGTCAACATTTGCTCTGTCTTTCTCTCAGGTGACGTCATCACATGGGCGTAGGCAGACCATATTATATTTACACCAGAGGGCCTTTCGATTTGGCAAAAGTAATAGCTATTAGTAGCTAATAGCAACTTAGAGTTACTCTGAACTGATAATAGTTACTAATAGGTACTACTGCTGCCAAATCGAAAGGCCCTCATGGTAAATAGTATGGACTGTCAAAATTAATTAATTTTAGATGCGTCATGTTCATGGCAATATTAGATATTAACTTAATATTGCTGTTATGTTGAATTTCTATCTTTGGTTATAAATTTTTATATCTAAATCTTTTTTAATNTTTGATAATTCATCAAAATATACAAATTGAAGTTTAATGAATAGCTACTAACCTTACTTTTAACCCTTCAATCCATAAACTTAGTAAAATTTTACATATGTTTCTGCTTATTTTACAAGTAATAAATTATTTACTGTTCTTGTGGTTCCACAATTTTTGATGGTGTTAAATTCTCAATTTTACTCTTGCTACCGAACATTTTCACTGATTTTACTTGCAAAGTTAAACATTTTATGAATTTATAAGCAAACACATGTGTGAATATAGCATGGTGTGCTCGTCAACCGATTCAGTTTCATTCTGCCTACGCATGACGTCAGCAAAGACCTGCCGATTTGACACAAATAGTAGCTATACAGGGTGACAATTTATCCAAAAAAATTTGGGATTAGATATGTCATGACGAATGGAGTCAATATCGTAAAAAAATTTTTGTAAAATCGTTAGTTTCCGAGAAAAAAATTATTGAAGTTATAGTATTTTCAACCTTTACATTGCTGGACTACTGTAGTCTCTAGCGTTATTCGCGTTGTACGTTGTTGCTCTGTCTTTCTCTCAGGTGACGTCATCACATGCGCGTAGGCAGACCATATTATATTTACACTACGGGTAAACAGTAACTATGGACTGTCAAAATTAACGAAATTTAGATCCGTCATGTTCATGGCAATATTTGATATTAACTTAATATTGCTGTTATGTTGAATTTCTATCTTTGGTTATAAATTTTTATATCTAAATATTTTTTAATAAGATTATATGAAATAGTCCACTACGATTCCGATCTCATTATGTCTTAAAAGTGGAGAAAGGAACAACATTGACATAAAATTGGAGGAAAATATTACCGATAAAAAAAACTGTCGAAAATCCGCAATTTCGAGTAGCAAGCCACCATCTACGAATCAAGTCGATTCGATAACGCTTTTTTAGACGATCGCCGCTTAGCTTCGAAGGGTACCTAGTCGCGAGGGGGCGAAAAATCGAAGCGAAATGAACTGTACTCACCCCGGGATGCCGCCGCTCTCCATATAGTTGGCCAGAGTGACGTCGTTCGACCACACGTCGAACTGCCACTTCCTCAGGCCCAGCACGCCGCAGTGCACGCGACCCGTGTGGATGCCCACCCGCATGTTGACGTTCACATTCATCACGCCTCGCACCAGCCTGCAAACAGATGAACAGATGAAATAGGGGGTGGTTAGAGGCGAAGCAGGTGCCCACCTGTCCGCCCACACGGGATTACCGACTATGCCAATGTAACTTTAGATTAATCGCACATGACAACGCTGGTAACATGAGTGGTTATAAAAAAAAATTAAAACCAGAATTAGAGGCAGTTAAATAGCTGAATTATTTTTTAACCATTGAAATTAATTTCATCATTGAGTACATTACAACAAGAATTACAGTAATCACAGTGCGTTGTTCAGAGTTTTAAGGCAGTTTATATCGTTCATATACAGTTTGGGTTGCCTATACCTGAAATGGATACAAAAGGACCCCGCACAAATCTTATGGAAATTGGGTCCCGGTCAAATTCGCTGAATTTTTGATATGTGATAGAGTTCATCATACTGGTCAATTGTCTCAATGGCCACAAAGCTCAAAAATGGATAGTTTGGCCGGTACAGAGCTTTAAAGCTCCGAATATCCTCCACGGATTTATGTATATGCGCAGTGTGTATAGACTTTTGAAATAGCCTATTTCATTTTTTTTATTATCTAGGTTTATATTTTTGAGGTTGCTGAATTCAGATCTGTTGTTAGATTTTCAAAATTGACAGTTGGCAGCTGTCAAATAGCTGTCAATGTGCTATAATAAAGCCAAAAACTTGTTTTTT